TCCTTATCTTTTTCAATAATCAAGTACACAAATTTAGAGGACTAAATTTCTTCAAGGGGGGAAGAATGTAATAATCCTAAAATTTCAAAAAAAAAAAAACTTTTAATAAGTGATGGTCCATATGAGCATGATGGTCCTTAAGAACCATCACTACTTTCAAAAGCTTTTGGTTTAAGTTTTTGCTGCCTTGCCACGTCCTTTAGTGGACGTGGGCTTTAAATGTTCGAGTGCAATATAATTGTTACACCTCATGTATGAGGTGTAACTTAATAAAAAATAATAATAAGGTATCTTAAGAATTTAAATAGGACAGGCGAGGACTCCCACCTTAGAAAATTTTTGAGATCTTTCTCTCTCTAGTCGAAACACAGTGAGCTCTTTCTCTCTTGAGCCGAATTTTTATCGGAAGCTCCCTCTCAAATATTTTAGGTAAGTGACTTCATTATCTTGAAAAATAATCCGTTCTTTTTAAAAATGAAATGAAATAATTACTTTTGCTTATTATCATGAATTTTAAGTGCGATAAATTTTATGCGCAAGCAACCTCATTATTTTGAAAAATAATCTTTTTAATAAAATTGTGATATTTTATCTATGTTAGAAATCTTAAATGCTCTAAATTCTTAGAAAAATAAATTTATTTATTTTTCTTGTCTATTGTTAGGAAATTTTAGATACTGTAAAATTATTAAAAATAAATGTGATATTTCTGCTTTTAGTAAAATTGTGAGATTTCTCTCTACTGTTTTTGAATATTTAGACATTGTAAATTTCATGTGCAAATGACTGCCTTATTATTTGAAAACTGATATTTTTGCAATGTGAAATGTTTATTTACGAATTAACATCCCATAAATTGTGATAATTCCGTATTCTTGAATTTCTATAAGAATTTTTCTATGCCTAGTAGATTGGCAATTACGCTAAAATGTCTTTACGAACTGCTACCTTTCTAAATTTGAACCAAAAATATTTGACTGGTTATTTTTGAGATGTTATTGTGTGATTGTTATTAATAATTTCAGTGATATGTTGAGTACATGATATTGCTACTTTCTAATGTTTAAAGAGATTTATAAATACTTTAAGTATGCAAGTGGACTCATCCGGTTCACCGGTGAGGTATAAGTGGACCTATCTGGGACACCGGTAGGGATTAAGTGGACTCATCCGGTAAGCCGGTGAGGTATAAGTGGACATGCAGGGATTAAGTGGACCTATCTGGGACACCTAAAGGGATTAAGTGGATCCATCAGAACGTTGATGGGGTATATAGGTGACCTACTTAGGATGCCAGTAGGGTAATTTGTGAAATCCTTTGAATTATGCACTGCCGTTAAAATGTTATATGCATTTCAATTATTCGGATTATACTTAATTATGCATTTTTTAAAGTGAAACTGTTAATGCATTTCTGTTAATAAATCTCCTTTTTGAAAATATTGATATCTTTCAACCATGATTATTTTTAGGATTATGATGATCACTTACTGAGTAGCCAAACTCATCAAATTATGATAAACATTTTTTCAGGATAACTGCGGTTTTATTTTGAGCGCTCGTATCAACTCTGGAAGATATTGTAGTTGTGCTTAAACTTTCTTTTGTTACTTTGTAAGAATTCACCACTGTAAATTTGTCCTATCAAGAGATGTATATATGTTTTGACTGTCACATCTCAGGAATATCAGTATTGTAAATTCTTGGGGCGTGTCAATAAAGCTTCGACATACAGTGGAATTTTTGACAGTCTCAGAATTGCCCCAGAACGGGTCAGAATTTTTCTAAGCATTCTAAAAGGCTACCTTCTAAGTTTTGTCGTAATCCGACATGTCTAAGGCAATGCAAACAAAGAAACAATTTCGAAAAAATCAGTCTCTAGCACCTTGAAACGTACTCCGTAACTAAAACTCTATTTTCGGTGCGTCAAACAGCTATGGGACTGCCACCATTCGATCCGGCACGGTAAAAAACCCCTATGAGTCAAGTTTCGGCTTAATCAAATGCTCTAGAACAAAGTTATGGGTAAAAGATCGAAAAGGGGTAGGTTGCACACTATTCCCGTGCGCCCTCCCTGTACCAAATCACCATTGATGGTGACTGTTTTTACAGTCACGAGCCGCAACTTCGAAGACGCATATCTCACTCGTCTTGAGTCGGATCACCCTCAAATTTGGGGAGTGTATTTGTCTTTTCAAGACGAGCGTTTTGATATGTGGCACGTCTCGTAACGATACCCGAGCAAGGAGAAAAACTAGAGAGAAGTTGGCGATTCATGAAGATAGTTGCAAAAAATTTAGCAGCAGCACGCCTCGTGCGAGCGGCCATATCACGGCCCTTGCGTACCCGATCGACGCGAAACCAATTGCATTATGTATGTAAGGTCCGAGGTTATGTTTGGTCCGAACCTCACGTACGATGAACGGTTGGATTCGGCACACGAAGGCGTCAAAGTTGCTACAGATTCCAGCCGCCAGATTTTCAGATTCTGGCCAAAAACCCAAGACGACAAAATCTTTGATCGGACACGAAATCGAGCTGCTTTTGTTGCAACGTGATTGTGACGGCATGCTTAGTGTAATTCTGCAAAGAATCCAAAGAAAAACATCAAGAAACGAGCACACTATCGATCCAAAATTTCCAAGATCTATGCAAATTTCGAGTCGCATGATCGTGGCCTAAAAACGCGATTCATGGCTCGAAGTTGGTATCAATTCGATCGTCATGCCGAGTCCGACAAGAAAGCAATTATCTTTCGGCCAAACAGATGCCAGAGCAACCCCGAATCATCCATGGAAGATCACACAAGTTCTACAGCAGCAGCATGGGCTGTCTTGAAATTTCATATATTGTTGGGCAGGGGCAAAACAGTCCTTTTGCACCCATTTTTAGAATTTTTCTTAATTCAATTAAATTGTAATTATTATCAATTTAGATAGTTTTTGGGCGTATACCCATGTTTAGGTCCCAATTCTATAAGTACATGCAAAACCTAATTGTAAAGGGTTCTTCCCTAGCTTCCCTCATTCTTCAATTTCATGAATAAGATTTGAGAATTTTACATTGAGATTGTGGGTGTGTTTTGGAGAGAGAGAGGAGAGAGAAGAAAAAATTTGGTACTCTTTGTTAAAGGTAACTTTCTCTCTCCTCTCATCTCTTTTCCTCTCTCCTCTCGTCAATCTCTTTCTCTCTCCTCCTCTCGTCCATCTCTTTTTCTCTCCTCTTGTCTATCTCTTTCTCTCTCCTCCCCTCATTTATCTCTTTCTCTCTCCTCCCCTGTCTATCACGTTCCTTCTCTCTCTTCTATCTTTCCTTTCTTTCCCCACTTTCCTAATCTCTCTCTTCTTCCTTTCTCCCTGTTCTCTTCTCTCTCTTTTCCATTCATGCATGGCAGAGCTTATCGCCGGGCATGATGTTCTTCTCTCCCTGGAACGTAAACAGTGAGCTGAGCCTTAACCCGAGTGACAGGCTGGGCCTTTGTCAAAGTTCTCTTCTGTCACTTCTCTATCATGGACGGCGAAAGCTCATCGCCGTCCATATTTTCTCTCTCTTCTCCCTCTGTCATGGACGGCGAAACTCCATCGCCGTCCATGTTTTCTCAATTCTCCCTTTCCTATGTCATGAACGACAGAAGCTCATCGTCGTCCATGTTTTCTCTCTCTTCTTATTTCTCTGTCATGGACGGCAGAGGTTCATCGCCGTCCATGTTTTCTCCCTCGTCTTATTCCTCTGTCATGGAGGGCGGAATCTCATCGCCGTCCATGTTTTCTCTTTCTTCTCACTCCTCTGTCATGGACAGCGGAAGCTTTTCGTCGTCCATGTTTTTTCTCTCTTATTATTCCTCTGTCATGGACGGTGGAAGCTCATCGTCGTCCATGTTTTCTCTCTCCTCTGTCATGAACGACAGAAGTTCATCGCGGTCCATGTTTTCTCTTTCTTCTGTCTTGGACAGCGGAAGTTCATCGCCGTTCATATTTTCTCTCTCCTCTGTCATGGACGACGGAAGCTCATCTCCTCTATATTTTCTCTATCCTCTGTCATGGATGGTAGAAGCTCATCGCCATCCATATTTTCTCTCCTCTGTCATGGACGACAGAAGCTAATCGTTGTCCATGTTTTCTCTCTCCTCTGTTATGGACGGTGGAAGCTCATCACCATCCATGCTTCTCTCCCTTTCTCTCTCCTATGTCATGGACGGCAGGACCTCATCGCCATCCATGTTCCCCTTCTTTTTTCTCTCTCTCTCTTCCTCTTCTTTCTCTCCCTTCTTTCTTTCTTTTCCCCCTTTTCTGTTCTTTCTCATTGCTCCTCGCTTCTTCTTTTCCTCTCTCTCTCTTCCCTTTCTTCTTCTTACATGCACAACATTGGTAGTACTGTGCATGCCTCTCTTTCTCTTTTCTTTCTCCTTCTCTCTTTTCCTCCTGTTTGACCAAGGGAGGCTAAGTCAAGCACTGCCATGGTAAGTCTCATCGTCTAGCAGTATTGTTGTTGTGCCGGTCTTAGTTACCGTGCCCGTCTTACTGCTACGATAGGTTAGCCATCGTGCCAGGCTGGTCAGTGATCGTTCTGTCATCTAGTGGTATTGCCGTTGTGCCGGTCTAGTTACTGTGCCCACCTTGCTACCACGCCGGGTCAATCACTTGCTGGTTTAGCTACTGTGTTAGTTTAGCCACTTGGTCAAATTCTTATCTTTCCCATTCCTCTATTCTATCTCTTTCTTCTTCTATTCTATCCTCTTACTGTTTTTCTTCATTTGAATGTGCATGCCTATGTGCATTCGCCCAAGGACAAGGTGGGGTCCCTTGGCCCACTTGTCTTGTGAAATTAACCATGTGTGTGTAATTATAGAAACAGGAGAGTACAGGCCAAGGGAGGCGATTTCGAACCAGTTGAAGGACTGGGGGGACTTTCTTCGTGATCTAAGAGGGCGCCCACGAGAGCCAGCCCGAGTAAGTCTCGAACCCACCTTAAATTCCTCTCTCATCGGTTGGTATACCTGCCCTTGTTTCCGAACAAGGTTCCCGAGAGAGCGATCTCAAGTCCCAGGTTCCCTTCGAAACCCGAGACACGTGCCACCAGGTCATTCAGATCCGGAGGGCGAGATCGAGGTACCTAACCAAGCATGTATGACACCTTAATGCTGTCCAAAGACTTCCGAATGGCACTAATCTGAGCGCTAACCTGCCCAGAGGATTACCAAGCCCAAGTACATATAGAGGTCGATCCTGTATTGCTCGCTAATGCCGTGGCAGTCACCTTTATTGATGATGATTGAAATTTCATAACCCCCCTTTGGTCGTATCTGGAGAGTTTACATGCCCAATTTATTTTAAGGATTATGCTTGATGGACGCCGGCTGTTAACTTGCTGAACATGAGGGTGTTGGCACGAATTGGGCTTGGGTCGAACATTTGAAACCATCAAATCTCACTGTTCACAATTTTAATCAATCAGGAGAAAGGCCAGCTGACAATATCAATTTGAAGCTCAAAATTGGCGACTTTAATACCTATGTGCAAATTCATGTCATTGAGGATACCTCCTATAATATACTCCTTGGGCGGCTGTGGCTCCATTATAATGTTGTGGTCCCATCTACCCTCCACCAGTGTTTCAAATATTGCCGAGATGGGAGACAACATATTGTCTATGCCGATAAGAGACCCCCACGAACGCCCCCCCCCCTCCAAAAAAACAAAAAAATCCCACACCACCGAAACACATGCACAAACACACAACAATGCCATTAAGATCCGATTTTTATGTTATATCGAGAATCTTATATAGACAACTCACACCTGTTTTGGACAACAACATCTGTTCTAGTTTCAAGATAAGTTGTTATTTTCGTCGAGTATGTGTTCTTTTGTGGATAGAACTTTGGCCTTCCTTTCCATCATGGAAATGGTTAAAAAGACCCTTTTGACAGCTCGTTTCTTCATCTAATATATTGACCATGATGTAGGACAAAATTATTCTTTTTCTTAATTTTTATTTAATTTCAAATGATGTATATTTTGATTTTGGTTTAAGGGTTTTTAAGTTTTTTTAGGGATTTTGAGGTTTTTCTTTTTATGTTTTATTTACTATTCAAGGGTAGTGTTCACTGGTTACTGTTCACTGTGGTTAAATTGTCATTACAACTTTTGCGTTGAAGTTAGGGTTTTTTGGGGGTTATTTAATTATTGTATGGACATTTGATGTTTCAAAAATTATAGTATATAAGAGGTGTGTGGGGCCTTGAGGGGGTCGTTTTGCATGACTGTTAGAAATTGAAAGAGAAAGAAAAGCTTAGGCATTTGAAATCCTAGCTTGGGTGTGGAGAAGAAACCCTAGGTTTCTTTAAATTGTGCTTGTGTTTGGCTTTGTTTCTTTCTGATTTTACTGTTTTCTCAAATTTCCTACATCAATTTGGTATTAGAGCTTAGGGTTCCTTCAACAACAAAAGTAGGAAACTACTGACAAGTCTAGGGTTTGTTAATTTTGGGCCAAGTTTTGCCAAATCAGCCTAGTTTTTTGCTATTTTCAGTGTGTTTTTGTTGATTATCTGCCTAAGATTTGCGATTTTGGCAAATCCATGGCAGCAAAAAGGGGCTATGCAAGGGGGTTTCCGCAGATATACTTTGTGATCCCAGAGATGAAGATATTGAGGAGCTTAAAAGGCAAGTTCAGCAGCTGGTACAGAAATTTGCGAGCATCATTCATGGGCAAGACAATGATCATTTTGCGCAAGAAGATGTCGGGTACCACCTTTTCACTTCCGTGCTGTGTGAAGAGTCGAGTGAAGAGAAAAGTATAGACGACCTAGACATGGGGAACATCACTCTAGGGTTTTAGATTTGAAGGAGGACATTCTTGATTTTGACGCAGATTGTATCCAAAATCAGATGGTTGTAAATTGGGATTTGCCCCCATTCCTAGATATATCCTTAGATGAATGACATATTCTCTTAAGAGATCTGAATTATGATAAGGATCAAGATGAAGATGATGAAGATGTTTTGGAAGAGGATTTTTCTTGCGAAGAATGTGGAGAGAAGGCAACAAGGGGATTGATTAAAATCACGGTCTTGATGATCTCAAAAATATCAAAGAGGTGGACCATTCAAGAGATTTCAGACATTGGAATCAAAATTCACAACAAAAGTGTGGTCGACTCATAAACCACAAATCATGGCCTTGGTTTCAGAGAGTAATGAAATACAAGTCGAGAAAGTCTCAAAAGGCCAGAAAATTGAGTTTGAAGTTTCCTATGAAAATTTCAATACGAGTTTAGGGATAACCAAATTTGATAAGTTTGTATCAATTCCTTATTATAAATACCATGAGTAGTTTTTTGGGGATTTATTCTTACCCCGGATAATATTTTGAGCCAACAAAGAAGATAAAAGTTGAAGAAGGTGGTTTTGATGCTAAGTTCATCTTAGCTCACTTCAAAACTTGAGGATGAGTTTCCTCCAATTAGTAGAGAATGATACAAGAGAAAATTATTCTTATTTTTATTTTTCATTCAATTTCAAAGGATGTATATTTTGATTTTAATTTTAGGACTGTTTAAGTTTTTTTAGGGATTCTAAGGTTTTTCTTTTTATTTATATTATTGATTGGATTCTATTCACAAATACTGTTCACATGTTGTTGTTCACAGGGGTAGTCGTCATTACTAATTTTGTGTTCAAGTTTGCTTTTTTTGGGGCCATTTTATTATTGTACGGAACATTTAATGTCTTCAATCATTATCTTGTAATATATAAGAGGTGTGCAAGGCCTTGAGGGGGTCATTCCACATGATTTTTGGAAATTAAAAGAGAAAGAGGAAGAAAAGCTTAGGCCTTTGGATCCCTAGCTTGCGTGTGGAGAAGAAATCCTACGTTTCTTTGAATTGTGCTTGTGTTTGGCTTTGTTTCTTTCTGATTTTACTATTTCCTCATATCTTCCTGCATTACCTAAGTAGCTCATTTCATATGTTGAGTGTCTTGGTTTTGTTGAGGAAACCTTGGGTTTTCATTCATATCTACTTCATAGTGCGAAGCATACATCAAATTAAAATCTTTGATCACTTTGAAATTATTTTTTGACATATGATGACCGAATTGTCTTTCAAAACCTAACAATTGTTGGAAATTGAATTTTGCAGCTGATGAAGTGTTGATAATTAAAAGTATGATTCATAGAGATTTCAATGCAATGATTAAGGTGAGACATACATCAACATCTGATTATTGTTTGTCATAGAAATTTCCTACCTCTTTAATGATAATTATAACGCATTGCATATGTTGGTGCATCAATCTATTAGCATAGCGATGGAATCTTGGTTTTAGTTGTGTAGTATATTCTTGATGAGTTACAAATTTTGAGTACTCTTGCATGGATATTACTGATCCACACTTATTGATGGTTTGTCATGCTTGTTTGGGATCTATCAAGTTGCTAGGACCCAAAGAATGCATTGTCCATGTTAAACCATAGATTTTTTTTTTTTGAAAAAGATGACATTAGGAAATTTTAAGTATGATTCACAAAACCCGCGAGATGTTGGTATTGGGCAGCCCAAATTGGGTGCGCAGACCTGTACAATCAAAAAGTCATATGTCAAGAAACAACTAGTTTCAAAAACCTGAAAGGTAGAGAGAAGATCGATGAAGAAAAACTTGGCGGGGGTGGAGAGCGTGGAGGGAGGGAGAGACAGCGAGAGAGGTGAGATTTGGGGGGGTAGAAAGAGGGTGGAGGGAGAGATTGAGAGATGAGGAGAGTTTGAGAATTGAAGGGGAAAGGGAGAGAACGAAGGACAAGGAGAGTGAGCCAAAAAACGACTTAGTGCAGAAAAAACCAAAAAAGGAAGTGATGGAGGAGGTATGTAGAGAGAGTGGGGGAGGAGAGAGAGCGTAGAGAGAGACAAAGTGTAGAGTAAGGTGAGAGTTAAGTCTTTTTTTTTAATTGTTTTTTTTTGGGGGGGCAGGGGGGAGAGTGAAGGGCGAGGAGAGAGACAACAGTGAGCTGGAAAAGGTTCAATATAGAAAGAAAACAAAGAAAAGGAAAAATAGTTGGCATCCCACAAACTAGGGCTCATCCCACAAAGATAGAGCACTGAAAAAACCTGAAAAATAGAACAATTAGAAACCTCCAAAAATTATGGTTGCATTGCAGTGGTTGCTACTACAGCTTTTTTTTGCCAACATGTCGGCTATCGAGTTGCCTCCCACCATGTATGATGAAAGTCGAATCGAAGTGGCCTCTATAAATGAGTAATGCGGCCAAAAGTATGGTGAGTCTCCAAGGGTTTTGTGACTTGCTAGATGCCCATGAAATAACTTTTTGGAGTTGGCTTCGACGATAAGATGGTTTCCCCAAGTCGGGCTGTATCTTTTGAGGGCTTCGATGAGGGCTATTGCATTGGCCTAGTTTGAATTACAAAACCAATTCGGAGGGAAAACGAGTTTAGGTTTGATCCCTCCAAGTTTCTAAAGATGCCTCCAACACCACATTGGCTTGGGTTCCCCATGGAGTATCCTATATGTTGACCTTTATGACCCCTTGAGGAGGGGGGATCAAACTTTAGATCGAGGTGGCTTGGATGGTTTTGATTGAAGGATGTTCCGTGGATTGGTTGTTCGAATGTAATTTGGAGAAGCCCTTGAGATGATTGCAGTTGTTGGCCCAGAAAATTGTAAAATCTCTAGCTCTTTTTGCAGTTGTCCTCGCGCTACTCTTAAGTTCTTGAATCTTCCCCCCATAAGGAGATCGAGCAGGAGAGATTTTGGTTGCACATCTCTGGACAGAGGCTATGTTAGCAGATGCTTTAACAAAAAGATTAGTGGCAAATGTTTTTGCCAAGCATGTACATGCGATTGGCTTGAGAGAAGCTGAGAGGGGGTAATTGTATGGCCTTCATAGGCCAAGTAACAGATGTTGGGTTTTGTGGCCTTTGAAGGCTTAGAGAGCTTGTGAAAATGATATTTATAGTAGAATATGCACTTTAGTGGGAGAGTGTGTTGACTGACTAAGGGTTGAGTGGTTTATGGCCTTGATCATGTCCAAAACCTTAGCCTTGGGCATGTGGCACTACCGAGAAGGGTTTGCAGCAGGCCATCCCTTGTTGAGGTCTGTAAGATGCCCAAGGATCATGTTTATAGGCAAGGTAAAGTATGTGGTCTTCCTGTGTGCCATTGTAGGGCTGTGAGAGTAAGGGCAAAACGCCTCAACAAACTGTCGTACGCCATGACAGCCGAATTACTGGTAAACAGCCCTATAGAGGGACACGTGTGTATGTACATAAAGAGAGCTCCCTTGCACTGTGGTGACAAGTGCTAGACATATTGTTACAGAGGAGAATTAAAATCCACATTCCAGGATCATGGTCCCATTGTTTTATTGTCCAACTTTGACAATCCAATCATGAGCCCTTGCTTTGAGACTGTGGGTCATGGGTCTTTGTTGGGTTGGATAAGAAAACAGTAGTGGATCATGGTTTCTGGGGCGAGTGGAGTGCCCTTATTGTTACTAATTTTAACCCATTAGTATTAGTCCACTCTTAATAAATTTTATTATATTTTTAAGATTTTTAAATATTTTTCAGAATTTTTAAATATTATTTGTGCTGTAAAATACACCAAAAGGAGTATTTTTAAAATTTTGCAGAACTTAAGTTGACACATGTGGGACAGAGGATCTAGCCCCACATTGTTTCTTTTATGTGTGGGGCCCACATGCCCCCATAGGGACCACACACCCTTGTTTCAACAAAAGCTCCATGCCACCTTTTTAGGAAGGGGTTGGGGGGGGGGGGGGGGGGGGGGTTGTGGGGGGGGTGCATGCCCACAATATTTAATGTGGCACGCCACGTGTTATGTATAAAAAGGCCACACCACTTTTCTAGGGAAAAGGGGGCACACCCCCTATTTTTACTTTATGTTGTTTTAAATTTAAATTAGATTAGAGAGGAAATCTTTTATTTGAAATAAAATTTGATTTCGTATTCTAAAACGATTTATTTAAAATTCAGATCTACTTTGATTATGCGAGATCTATATTATGTTTAAATTTGATTGTATTTCAATTTTAAATAGGAGTTGGGCTTGGGTTCCTATATTTCCACCCAAAATCATGATGGCTGATTTTTGGGATGGATGTCTCTAATTAAATTTCTCTCACCCCGCATATTTCTTATTTATCCTAAAAGTCTAGCTGGAAATTGGATAAGGTAATACTTAGAAGGAATCCTACAACTTAGGATATAGGTTTCCTTCTATAAAAGGATCTAATTTGAACTCGCTCATTACAAAATCTTTCTCTCTCTTCCAAGACTAGACCCCCCCTCTCTCTCACGCCCCAAGTCTCTCTCCTCTTTCCTTCAAGATCTCTTACTCACCTCTTTACCTTCACGCACAAAAAAGGGGAGAAATCCTAGAGCAAGTGTTTGCTGTATTTTGAAGAAAAGAGGGAGAAGCTCAGCCTAGATAGAAATCAACTTACAGATTCAGCCCTTATTTGTTCCAATAGACTTTCTGCAAACCTTAGTCTATTTTTGAGCTCTCTGAAACCCTAGAGAAAGAAGTACTGCTTATAAAGCTTTTATATCTCAAAATTTCCAGTAACACCTTAAGGAGCAAAAGTGCATCATTGATCAGGAAATCAGATGCGGTATTGTACCAAGTATTGGTAGGGTAACTCCAATTATCTTCCAATAAGTCTTCCTAATACTTTTAAATTAATTTATAGTATTATTTTCTATTTTCTGTAAATTTTTAGGAACTTATTTTGTGCTAAAAATTATAGTAGGAGTTAGTTTAAAGCTCCTGGATAGTTTTTATTTCTGTTGGTATTGAAAATGAAGATCCTAGGATGTATCTAGGGAATTGTTTTAAGTTTACAGCAATATATTGCAGCCCGTGCAAGTGGAATTCAAGCATTTGGAATAAAAGTAAATGCTTTTTTTTTTTTTAATTTAATACATTGACTTGCATGGAGCCACAACTTTCAGTTGATCAATGTTCAAGAAGTTGGAGCCGACCTCCTATGCGGGTGCCCAGACCCAAAGAAAGCTCTTTTTTTTTTTTTTTTTTTTTTTTTTTTTTCTGTTTTTTAAATTTGGATCCTCCACACGTCTTTTCATTTTATTGTATATAGAGTTGTCAATTTTTTATTTAATAAGAAAGTTTTGTACATAACATGTTGTTAAGATTTCGGAAGCACGGATCCAGCATAAACAACATTTACAACTTTAGACTGTAAATAAAATAATTATAGTTCAAAAGCAATATTGAAAGATAAAATCAACTCGAGATGTCCTTTAAATCTCACAAATCACAAGTCACTCACAAGTCACAAAAGTTTTAAAAGTCATATCTGATCAACAAAGGCCACAAACTACCTTCACCCCACAAATATGATGAACTCAATTATGAGCTTGAGTTTCATCATCATTAGGAATACGACGTCGATGTCCGCCATGCAGTCCACCTGAATCTGATGATGATCTGAGCCATCATCATCAGAGTCATCCTCCACCACATAAAAATCTTCTTTCCTTGTCTCCTCTGAGTCTACATCCTCCTCTTCCTCCTAGATCGTCGTCCTCCTCCTCATCTGCGCCTTCTTCTTCCCCTTTCCCTTTTCCTTCCCTTTCCTCTGTGTTTGGGATCTAGTAGCTCTGACCGGGCTCAAACCTAAACCAGCCGCCTCTTGCACTTGGATCCATGTCAAGCTCTCTCCCTCAAATACAAGCTCATCCCCAGCATCGGGCTCAACCATCCACTTGCTTGATGGATCTAAATCTTTCACAAGTATAGGGTCTTCAAGTTGAAAGCACTCTAGATAGCGTTCCTTCAGCCTTTGATTGTACTAAACGAAACAAGGTCGCTTAGTCTCTTCTGCTCGAGTCTATTTCTCTTCTTTGTATGTACCTATTTCATAGTATACCATTTTCATATCGCAAATTTTTACTTAAAAAAAAATTCTATAAGTTATTGTCACAACTTGATAGGAGATGAGGCTGAGGGTAAATAGAATATTCACCATCTCGAAGGTGCTGAAGTTGCGCTCGCAGCCGGATGATAGAAGTCAAGTTCAATACCCATTGTGCCATCTTTTGCAAGTTGAGGGCACTTTGTCCATGTTTGGCCCACCAAGAGGCTATAATACATTTAACAATAAAAATAAGTAGAGTGCATATATATATAAAAGAAAAAAATTACAAGGGCAAGCTTTCTATGCTTCCCCTACAGCATAAAACTTATATACTTCCCCTTATCCAACCATCCATTTTGAATGGAGGGCTAAGATTGCCCCAATCACAATGTCACATCTTTACTCTATTTTACTTTTGATGCTTTTTCTATAAACTATTTTGACACCAAATTTTGGATGTCCAATTCTCTATTAAACTTGCACTAGCAAAAAATATAAAAAAAATATTTTCAATAAAATAAAATGACCAAAATACCCCTGAAAGTTTCAAGGGGTATTTTGGTCATTATATTTTATCGAAAATTTATTTTAATATTTTTTATAGGCGTGCCCCAATGAGAAGATGGCACGTACCAAATTTCATATTCATACAATTTGTATAAAAAAAATGAAACTAAAATAGTTTGAGATGTCGGATCTAAGATCAAACGGTGAGTGGCTCTCTTGATCAAAATTGAACGGCTGGATGGTAGGGGAAGCATAGATCTTCTATGCTGTAGGGGAAGTATAGAAACCTTTCCCAAAATACAAATAGCAAATAATAACTTCATAAGACATTAAGGGAAAAAAAGTACAAAACCTAATGAAAGCTATTGCAATATACCAACCTTCTTGAAGTGGACTTGATTTCGGGGCAAACCAAAATGTTTGAGATCCCAAATCTTCTCTTTTACAACCTCTATAAGCCTCAAAAAGATTGGGGATGAATATCCTTTAATATCGTGACCATTTGTGGATTTCCAAAAAAAAGTTTGATATCTAAAAAAATCTTCAAATCTAGTTATTTTCAAGTTGTTTCTCACTGTAAAGTTCACTAAAATTGTTTTTGGGGGCAAGAATGGCCCCCCAAAACCTTATCCCCCTTTTTAAGGGGGTAAAATTACATTTTTTGCCCTCTTCTATGCTATAGGGGAAGCATAGATCTTCTATGCTGTAGGGGAAGTATAGAAACCTTTCCCAAAATACAAATAGCAAATAATAACATCATTAGACATTAAGGGAAAAAAAGTACAAAACCAAATGAAAGCTATTGAAATATACCAACCTTCTTGAAGTGGACTTGATTTCGGGCCAAACCAAAATGTTTGGGATCTCAAATCTCCTCTTTTACAACCTCTATAAGCCTCAAAAAAATTGGGGATGAATATCCTTTAATATCGTGACCATTTGTGGATTCCGAAAAAAAAATTGATCTCTCAAAAAATCTTCAAATCTAGTTATTTTCAAGTTGTTTCTCACTATAAAGTACACTAAAATTGTTTTGGGGGGAAGAATGGTCCCCCAAAACCTTATCCCCCTTTTTAAGGGGGTAAAATTACCATTTTTGCCCTCTCTTGAAATTTTTTCGAACAAAGTTGAGCAGTCTGCCTAGGTGCCGGCCTTTTAAACCGCCTAGGCGGGCACCTAGTTATGCCTGCATAATTCTGTCTACCTATAATATGCGTAGGTGTTTTTTGCAAAAGTCTGCCTAGGCAGTCGGGCGGCCGACTTTTCGTTCATTGCAGTTGATAGATTGGCAAATCTTTAGAGTTAGGTCCTGAAAGCAGCACCCGTACACTTCCCATTTTCGTTATTGGTGCAAAAGTGTAACGATAAGATTAATGTTAAGTTTGAGTTCATACTCTCATGATCAGTGTTGCCCTTTGGTGTTCTATACTACCTCCTACCCAGACTTGAATTTATGTACCCATTTACACCAAACAACTATTATAAGCAAACAATCACACCTGTATTTTACTCTTATTTTGTTCTTTTTATCTTCCTAAAATCGTCTTGCTTTGCCTTCTTCCACTCAGGAAAAAGCATGGCTTTTTAGGTTCTGAAACATAATCAACACATGAGAGAAAAGAAAGTGATTATAAAACAAGCTTTCAATAGGGTGAGTTGTCTTTGTGTTTTAATATAGGAAGATCAATAGGAGAGACTTGAACAATGGATAAGGACGGTTCTATTTCTTCGTTAGATTTTCTCTTAAGGTTGTTTGGAGGCTTCTCCTTCGCTTGGCCTAAATGAGGCTGGTCCTCTGCTTGGTCAACCTCCCCCTTTCTACATTTTGAGTAGGTATCTAATGGCTGCACTATAGATCATAAATTGTATAATGGCCGTGATCTGGGGGAAGAGCCATTGGAGAAAAAATGTAAATGAAAAAGCTCCCTTCTAGGTGATTAAAAGTTGTGAGTAGGTATCTAATGGCTGCACTATAGATCATAAATTGTATAATGGCCGTGATCTGGGGGAAGAGCCATTGGAGAAAAAATGTAAATGAAAAAGCTCCCTTCTAGGTGATTAAAAGTTGTGAGTAGGTATCTAATGGCTGCACTATAGATCATAAATCGTATAATGGCCGTGATCTGGGGGAAGAGCCATTGGAGAAAAAATGTAAATGAAAAAGCTCCCTTCTAGGTGATTAAAAGTTATGGAACCCTAATTAAGGTATTTAGTGTCTTTGACGAATGTTGCATTTCTTAGGACATAATAATTTGTTACCTAAGGATTACAGCATTTGCAACCCTTTGGACGAAGGATAATAGGCACTCCCCCCCCCCCCCCCCGACATTTTGATTGTATTGGGGCAAAGGATTCATTAGATAACTTTATCTATTGCTAAAAGAAGGCAAACAGCATTGTTAAGACTATCATTGAATTTTATTGATGGAAACACAGAGTTTAGGACTCTTAAAAATGGGTGACCCAATCGAACATATCTCAATTACCCCTTTTAAGTTTTGACAAGTAGAACCAATGTGTTTAAGGTGTTATTCAAAATATAGAGATTGTTGTTCTCGAGGTTTTAAAAAACGGATCGGTGACTTGAATCAACACTTTGGATTTTTTATTTGGTTCAGCGGATCGCGATCAAGATCAGCGATTTGGTTTACCAAATTGGAAATTAAAGAAATTTTAAAACAGATAAGTGGGACTGGTTTTGGCCGATTCTGTGATAAAGCTTGGCCAGAACCGGTCCAGATCGGTCGGTTTTAGTAATTAAACAATAAAGAAAATAAAAAAAGTGGGGCCGGTTCTGACCAATTTTATGTCAGTTCAGTCAAAGAAATGACCAAAACCGGTTGAAACTGTGGCCGATCGATTTCAAATTCCCAATTCGTATTGGTGGGTTTTGATCGGGATCATCGATTTTTTAAACACTGGTTGTTCTCATATCTTTTGCCAATCATCTTTTTGGTGTTTAAGTCCTTAAAAGACATTTAGAAGGAAAAGACGTTCAAGAGACAGACAAATTGCATGGAAGATGGGAACATGGAAAACTTTAGAGAAAGGATTGAGGGAAGAGATAGATTGCCGGAAAGGTTAGAACATGGAAAACTTTAGAGAAAGGATTGAAGGGATCTAATTTACTTTTAACGAGAGTAAGGAGATATCTACAGACAAAGCAGATGTAGCATGGGAAGCAACTGATCACTTGTCATATTCTCTAAGGTACCTGAGTCTATGACCCTATCCGAAGATGAATCAAGGATGGACATCAGATTCCTTAAATTTTCATGCAGTTGTCTAGACATAAAAGATGCAGTGTCGCGTCCCCTTTATAATATCGCGTCTCATTCAGCTTTCCTTCCATCAAGCTGTGTCTCACAAGTGGCAAAATTGAGTTGTAGGAGATCTTTCCTATTTCATGGATGCAAGTCTCAAGGTAGGGTCATACAACTTGGTAATTAAGAACTATGATATTACCACTGGTTCACACATCTAGGATGCTACACATATTTACGCTCTTGACTCTAAAACAGGACCAGGTTGGGCAACATTTATTAGATGTCTAAATGATCTTAAACCAATCTAGAACCCATCACTCCAATCTGCCTCGGATGTGAAGCCTAGCACTCCAAAAAATGGATCATCTGGGGAATAGTGCTAAGACTCCTGTAGATGATACATAGATCTGAACCCTAGCACTCTGAAAAGTGGTCTAGTTGCCTGATACACAATAGAAGTTCCTCTGTTAACAATATTCAGATAGTTGTGCATAGTGATACACAAATCTAAAGTACTAGAAAAATCAGAAGATTGAGCAAGTAGAGAATAACTATTCTGTTACCATGTTCAAACCACCGTTTGTAAAACTGAACCAGACCAGCTGATTCCACTGGGTGGACTGTGAACAGGCCCGCAACTGGCCATGTTTGATAACTGAACTGCCAATTGGTAAAACTGGTAAAAAACTGGTTTGAACTCGTCCGTTTCATCCAGTTGGACCACTTGAAGTGGTAGGTTCAACTACGTTGACCTGTTGAGCTGGCTGATTCAATATGGTTTTGACTAGTTGAGACCAGGCTTTTGACCTGTTTTATATGTTTTTTTGTTTTAAATGTTAATATTTTTTATTTATATCTTCTAGACTGGTCTTACTTCTGAACCGGCTGGTCCAACTGCTTTAGACCAGATGGCGCCCTCACTGTTTTGATTAAGTTGATTGTGATTTAGGCCATGGTTTTTTTCTTAGCAAAGTGAAAGAGTTGTAATGGGAAAAGCCCAAGTAATGAATATGGATCCAGCCAAAATCATTAGTCCTGGTGTATTAAAATTGATGCAAATATGTTTGTACAGTTATTTAAAGGACAGGAAAGTTTTTAAGTATAATAACAAAATGAGACATTACATCAAAGACCAAGGTATATAACACACACCTGCTGTCCATGTTGGGATGTTAGGGAAATGTTGATATGTTTTGACATCTTTGTTGACTTTTTGATGAGAGAGAAAAGGGGAGGCTTTTTTTTTGGGGGGGGGGGGGTTGGAGGGTGCAGGAGAGCGGGAGGAATGGGCCAATAGGGCGATAATGGGGTGGTGGAATTTTGCAGGATCTTATGCTTTCCAATTACCGACACCTTTGGTGTCCATAACAGATTGCTCAAGCGCTTTGTCCTAAGAATGTTATAGCTACATACTTGACAAATGCTGAAAGAAAAGCTTCAACCTAACTACATGTTTACTGCAACACTCCAGGGGCTTCCAAATCCAGTTTATCTTTTCCAAGGTATTGTGCTTCAAAGAGGTGCGAAAAGGAACAGGAATGAAATCAATTGAGCTGGCTATCTCCATCTGTGATATTGTTGACATTTATGGCTTCACTGTCGATTCCAGCTATACAGAATGGTCAGTTAGTTGATGTTCTTGCTCATGATCATTTACCAAATTATCGTTTAGAATTTCCTTTGTATTTCTAAATATATGCTCATATATAGTTCTTAAGAGTTATGAATAAACAAATAGACTCAGGTAACTTAAAGGAATTTCCCACATAAGAAAATGGGGGCTAGTAAGTTTGTTAACTGCACAATTTGAGACCATGTACACTACATGTTGAGACCATGCACAACATTAAAAAAAGGTGACTATGCACTGTAAGGAAAAACATATGACAGCCAAAAAATCACAATTATACTTTCTAACAAATGACTTGGCCAGAAACACCAAGTATACTTGTTATGATTTGTAATGTACTGAAGCATGATCCCTTGTGTTTCACTTGTGTGGTACACTGTTTTGATGACCTGATCCCCAAAATATGTTTGGTAAAATTAAATAATAGATATTTTGCTTTCAGTGGAAAGGAGCCAAGCTGGTGGGTATTATTGTAGGTTAGGATTTTCAAGGATGACGGTCCTAGGTACCTGCTCTGCTCGTTTTTTTATGAATGGCTTTCTTAGGTAGCATTTGCATTCCCAAAACTATTCCTCTGGCAACTGTTAGGAAATTTCATATTTTCTTCATCTGACTGTTCCTATTCCACTTCGTAGACATTCATCATCTGGGAGCTTCTAGCAAAAAAATGTTTCTCTCCCCGCATTTTCATCCTCTCTCCCTCAATCATTTTTGTAGACAGAAGTCTATTGAATGGGCAATGTGCAATAATTTCAAAATGAAATCAAAGGAAAATGAAAAAGGGCTATCTTTGATATGGGCAAAAATAAATCCTCTATGTACTATTCAGAAAGCTGATCATTGACATTGTGGCTGTTTGATTAATGTTTGAAATATGGTGCCCTTCAATGGAAGCTTGAGGGGGAACACCCCTGGTAACCTGTGTAGATGTCAAACAAGCCAAATGGGTAGGTGCCTCATGCTTAGTGCCTTAGAATGCCAGGCTTCCAGTGCTCTCATGTGAACTTACTTACCCCAGGGATTTTAAGGGCAGAAAAAGCAGCCTTGTTCCATGTGAAAGTGTTCTTTCGCCTATCTTTATGGGGTTAAATTGGTCTGAGATGATTGAAACTTATTTTGATCCTTAAATTTATTTTCCAAAATAGTTATTTTTTCTAAATTAAGTACAATAGCATTGAATCTTGGTAAGGCAGTTTCCTAAGCCTTCTGCATAGCTATGAAGCACATTTTACTTATTCAAATATTGAAGATCACATTTTCCAAAGCCTACTGCATATCTTTACAGTTTTCTTAACTATAGTATTTGTAAATAATAAGTTTTTAATAGTTTTTTATATTGTTTTGTATGTTGACTATTATTTGAATTAGTGCTTTATTATCTGTGTGCATAAGCACACATGTCCACACACAGAAACACATGTAATACATGTTTTTTTGCACAATGTACTGATATTATAGAACATTCATTCACACACATGTGGGCCTTGGGGATGCCAATACAGCTGAAGCAAAACATTTCCCATGGAGCCAAAATTATTTCTTCAAGAGTTCACAGGCTAGTCATTGTTAAATGTGGCTCCTTGAATATCATCAGATAATCCCAGGGAATGGACCACACCCATGGAGTGGAGACTAGATAATGTGATAGATGAGGTTCCTGTCCAGATCACTAATTGAATAATTGTCCATGAGCATGCCGGTTCGTGGTCTGAATCGGTGGTTCGAGTGTATGTGGTATACAATATGCAAATTATATTACAAAACTCAAATATCTCTGGTGGTCAGGGTTTGTTGACACCATCATTAAGGTCGGAGGTTCTAAGCCTCCCAAGTGCGTTCTTCTTTTAATTAAATTTTTATGTAGATACTATATATTATATTGCTTTTGACGTTTAAAAAAAAGGGGAGGGTTCAAACCTCCAACCTTATAGTTACATCCATAAGGACTAGGTAATTATATATTATATACTACATATCCTTCAAATAAAAAATTTTGTCTGATCACCGATCCAGCCTAACTGGATTGCCGATCTGGCCATACTGGATTGGGCGATCCACCCCATCAATCTGGTTTTTGAAACAATGTTCCAAATCAATGTTATTAGACCAGACTAATCATCGAATTGGTGAGGGCATCGGTTTGTTCAGCCAGTTCATTGATCGGGCTGGTCTAGAAATTATAAATAAAAATATGCAAAAAACTTGTCAAACCTGGTCTGAAGTGGTTGGTTCAATGGGTCCAACTTGCTCAACAGGCCAGTTTAGACTGGATTTGACCAATTGGCAGTGCAGTGATTGACCATAGTGGCTCTTAGTCTGGCTCCCGATTCACACAGCCGAATTAGCCTGGCTAGATTGGTCTTAATAACATTGGTTGGTATGGACCGATTGCTTTCAATTTGTGCTAAGGGAAGCACTTGATTTGCGATCCCCTTGCATATATGGTTAATGGCAGGCCGGCCTTCTATTGGGCCAGGGCCGCCTCCTTGACAACCTCTCTCACTCTTCCTTCAACCTACCTTGCACATCTTCCTTTCTATATTCTGATTGGAACTACTAGATGTAATCGGTTTTCTTGAACCTCTGTCAACAACAAATAAAAATGGTTTATTTCCTACATTTATAATTTGATAATCTCTAATTCCCAATTGATCATTTAGTGTCCTAAGCAAGCGGGCTACCAACTACCTGGTGGCACCTCCCAGTGTTGTTTACCTGGTCCTTGAGCAATATTATGGAATGTCTGGAAGCAAGTATCAGGATTTGGCCGTGTGTGGATGGAATGGATTTTTCTAGCTTGTCGACTAGAGCATGTGGGTTTCTTCCTCCATGCCCTAGTACTTACTCGGACATAGGTTTCTAGGTGATGGGGATTCTTCTACTCTAAGGAGTGTCTGAGGTAGTAATTTAAAGTTTATTAGCCAATGCATCCGATTTTCAGTAGATTCATACTCTATGCTTGTTGGGCCCATGCCTTTAGTCCTGGATGATGGAAACTTGTGTCAAACTATTTCACAAAAATGCTGAACTATGAAGGTTGCTTTTGTTTGCTTGATAGCTAATCACCCAAAAGAAATGCATTGCAAATATTTTATTTATGAATTTGTTTATTTACTATGTGATTATTTTTTTAACATAATACCTGCTAATTAATCACTCAAGTAGTACTGTATCACAACATGATAGTGTCTTTTCCGTAATATAGGACACGCTACTTTTCAGCCCCTAAGAAGGGGCATAATCCACTGCAAGTGAGAGCATACTACCAACTTCTGGAGTGCCTTGGTGTAAGATCTTGAAATCACTGCATCCAGCCTAAAATTTATGCTTTTTGCATTCTTTTATTTGACTTCATTTTCCCATGGAGAAGAATTGTTTCAGGAATCATAATATGTGTAAATAATTTTCATTGTGGTGATATGAACAGGTTATTAGGATTCTTTCTCCTATGAGGGCAAAGAGGAAAGAAGACTGGTCCGATGCACCTAGTAGGGAAATGATAAACCATGCTCATGCTGCTGCTTATCGCCTGAAGAGAGCCCAAACTGGTCAGATGGACAGTGACTTTGGACCTTTTCGTGCTTGTAAGGTTTGGGGTTCTGCTGGTTCAGACAAGGGACCACTTTCAGGTTCACCCGACATGACTGAGACTAGAAAGAAGTCAAATTACAGCAAGTGGGAGGTGCTTCCATTTGAGATGCTAAGGAAGGAATCCCAGGAGCACTACATTGAAATGGGGGACGTTTCTTTGTACAAAATGGATGGAAACAAATTGGATGACCTTGTGTGCTTGAAGCATGACCCGAGAGGTTGGACACGAGCATGATAACAAGCACACAGAGGGTCGCTTATCAATCGAGGGATCAATAGTCTTCAAGCGAAGTATATTGATTCTGTGTACATGGCTTTGTCACAAGAGAATTAGAGGTGAAGCAATTGTACATGCCCAGTGATAAAGTGTATCAAAATTTGCTGATGTTGTTTGGGTGTATAGGCGGTTAGGGTGGCAGGGTGCCACAACATGATATCTTAAATTTTCATTTCTATGATGTCCCAAGTTAACATTGAAAAAAAGAAGAAGAAAGAGGGTAGGGTTGTAGGGTGAAATGTTCAAAAATTCAATGTTTATTGTGAACGTTGAGATTCAGTCTTTTGCATGCGGGATCCTTTGGATGAAGGGACAAAGATGGGGATTAGTGGGCCCAGTGATTGAAGGACTAGTGCTCTGGCCCTCCCGGACTTCAAAGTTTTTCTTGGAGGTTTGAAAAACAGAAGGAAAATGAATCTCTTGTATTTAGCTCCATATATTTTGTTCACTGACTATTCTAACGTGTAGTTGTCCTCTCGACTGCAGAATTCAAAGACAATTATTGCTGTGACATGTTACTGATTAGCATTTGGCTGTCAGTTCCAGAGGGCTGAAAGTCTTATTCCAGCTGTGAAAAAACTTGTGTTCCATTTTAAAATCACAATCATCATAAATAAAATAAAGGCGAGGTAAAAATCTTCCTGCCACCTTTCTGAATTCATGACTTACTTCCTTTTGCTCATACAATGTTACAAAAACTACAGTGTCTGTCCCGTTTTGGACCTTAAAAATCGAATGGTTGACTGAAATCATACTGAGCTACACATCTAAACAACTTATCGTGAGTCGACCTGCGGAGCTTTGAGAAATGGACATTTGCATAATCTTGTGTTTTTTTGTTTGTTGCCTGTGTTAAATGCATTACCATTCTTTCTTTTGAGTATGTTTGACATACAAGAATTTAGAATATCAAAGTATACATATTATATAATATATATATTTTTGTGGTAGTTTAAATGAGAAAACTCCCCTTGCCCCCCCGCATTGAAGATCGACGAAATTTTTCTTTTGAAAAGAAAAACAAAACTGGTAGATAGCATGGTTTTATTCCTATGCTCACCATCTGTAAAAAGCCTAGTTGATTAGCATGACTTTTTCATGTACTTGCTTTTTCGAATTGTCCACGAGCCTCCATCACTCTCCCTTTTTACACACGGAAAGCTTTACATGTGACCCAACCAACAATAAGTATATGTCACCTTTGCCGTCAGCTGTCCAATCTAGGTATAGTTGGCTCTTGAGCGTTAAATATGGATTAGTGTTTTATTTTTTATTTTTATCTAGTAAATCATTTTATGGCGAAATTTGGGGATGCATACATTTAACAAGGATACACCGGTAAAAATAATACAATATTTCCTATGATGAAAACTTACTAGATAACCCCTCAAACTTGTAGGGTTATTTTGGTCAGGGTGGGTGAAGTGGAGATGTGCAATTGGAATTTATGTGATCGTTGTATTCCAATGAAGTTGAAGGGTAAGTTTTATATGACAGTTGTGAGACTAGATTTGCTTTATGGGACAGAATGTTGGGTAGACAAAACAATATACTCATAAAATGAGTGTAGCGGAGATGAGGATGTTGAGATGGATGAGTGGCAAGATAAGAAAAGATAGAATCCGAAATGAACCATTCGGAAAAGTTTAAGTGTGGCACCAAAAAGCGATAACATGGGAGGGGGAGTAGACTTAAGTGGGCTGGTCATGTGTGGTGTCAATCCAGTACAACATCTGTTAGGAGGTGTGAGTTAGTTCAAGTGGAAGGATTGAAAAAGGCAAGGGGTAGGCCTAAAAAGACGTAGTTGGAAGTAGTCTGAAAAGATATGGGGATTTATGGTCTCTCTGAGGGTATAGCTTTAAATAAAGCATAATGGCGGATTAGGATTTATATAGTCGACCCCAATTAATTGGGAAAGTGCGGTTTGAATAGAGCCTAGGCTGTAAACAATCAAATTAGAGCCTACCTTCAAATAGTGTCAAGAAATGTGGTTTCAATATTGAAAATCTTTGTGATAGCCTTCAAATATATTTTCATCTTTATTTATAAAGTTTAAAAAATAGTGTAGATCGATAGATCTACGAAAACTTGAAAATTTTGAAAATTGACGGTCCAAAAATGCGTTACAAAATACACTATTTTCAAATTTTAAAATCTATTTTTTTTCATGTCTATGCATCTTGATGTCGAGATGATCAATTTGATGATATTTGAGGGTCTAAACAACTTCTTTTGGTAAAATTTTTGATGTAGGCTCAAATTTGATTGTTTAGAGCCTCGGCTCTTTATAAACTTTTCCAAACGCCTATAGGCGAAAATGAACAATGATTTCGCCTACTCTCATTACCGTCCAAAGTTTATCACACGGTCATGATTGTCTGGTAGTATTTCATTTTTTTTTCTATAAATCAGAATGACCTGAAATTTTGAGTGTATGTACATCTTAGTGAGGTGCTCCTAATAAAAATATAAAAAAAATAATTCACAAAAAATAAATTGACCAAAATACCTCCAAAATGTTTTTGGGGTATTTTGATCAATTTTTTTCATATAAAATATTTGTTTGATATTTTCCGTAGATTCGTTTATTTTTTATGAACACAGCTTCAAATTTCAGGTCCTTCCAATTTGTAAAAAAAAAATAAAAAATAAATCACTATGGGACAATCATGATCGTGCAATGACCTTTGGACGGTGATGAGGGTAGACGAAATCACTGTTCATTTTCGCCTATAGGTGTTTTGAGTATCTTCTATATATATATATATATATATATATATATATATATATAGTAAGGAAG